GGAGGCCACTATGGCACGGGGCAAGCACTATGGGCAGTCTATCTGAAGTGTACCTGGCGTATAAGACGACCCCCCCACTTGGAGGCATATTTTTCAGGGCCAAAAAATCGTCTTATACGCCGGCAAATACAGTACTTGACTTTCCTTACTTCCTACCATATGGAGGAGATAAGTTTCATCCCCAACCTGGCCCACTGAACTAAGTATCTATCTACAGTGGCCACTGGGTCAGAAAAACAAATGGTAATGTTCCACCCATCTTCAAACATCATATCTAAATCCATGTCCAGCTGGTACAGACTGGTACATTTTTTCTGGAAGCTAATGTGGCATTATTCTTAACCTGCTGCTGGCACGCACCTAATGTGGCATCATGTATCAACAACCTTAAAATCTCCATAGCATTTGACTATAAGAAAAGAATTTAATGTTCAGACATTCAGACAAAGACTTCTACAAAAGATTTAGTATGACATTTTTAATGAAAAATTGTAAATGTTTTTTCTACTTAATGTCCAAGAACAGGAGTTGGTTAAATAAAATTTGGTACACCCATAAAATGGAATTTTAAGCAGCTATGGTCAGATATTCCAGAAGAATTTCTAAAATGGCATATCAGAAATTCTCATGCAACAGTCCAAAACAAAATTGCATGCACAGTATACTCTTAACTGTATATAAATAATTGGAATGGGGGGGTGAGAGGAGACACACCAAAATATTAACAGTGGTTATTTTTATTCCTTTATGTTCTGATTTTCTTCCTATACATCTTATGTTATAGAAATTTTCTGTAACAGGCATAGATAAAATTTCCAAATTAAGATACCGCAGAAAAATACCAATGGAGCAATTGATGCATTCCATGGTTTTGTGTCCATTCTACCTCTTAGGGGAGCCGTACACTGCTATCTGCTGTGTCACTTTTGCTAGGGACTTACATTATCCGTTCTACTGGAGACAAAACAACTACTGAGCGGCGATGATAAGAATCTGTGTCACCTGGTCTCTGTTCTTTTTCAGCACACGACAGTTTTGCCCTTTATATTAATCGAGATGAGGACATCCCACCATGCGTATCCCAGCAGGAGCAGCGGACTCGCCGCCACATGTACCTTCTCTGTTGGCTATATATTATGGTAAGGACAGTGCCTGCTGGGCTTTCGTATTGTATTATATTTTGCACTGCTAAATTTGGGCACATATTTCATTATGGATATAATCACTAACAGATTCACACTGCGTGTCTCGTTTGGTCCAGGACCTGGGCTTTGTCTCATTTCCCCAGATGCTTATATTTTTAGAAAGTATATGCCAAACCTCACACAACAGGAATTTGTTGAACAATCCCATGTAAGCAGTGCTTCTTCCAAGCCTACATTTTTCAACTCTTTTTCAAACTAAATGTTTTTCTTGGACACCAGCGTTATTGCTGGAGGGCCTTTTTACTTGGGATTTTTTGTTGTTGCTTTTGTTGGGGAGTGGGGGAGTTGCAGCAAATGCAAATGAGGACAGGAGAAATGACCTCTGAGAGGAGTGACTCTAAACTTCATAGGAAACAGTGAAGATGTATATTTGCCTGAGTCAATTTAAAACCTGTTCCAGAATTAGCGATTGCATACAGCATGCATTGAATGGTTTTGTTTTTGAAACAAAACAAAACAAAACTTCTTCTGCGTGAAGAAGTCTCCAGTTGGCCTGTTGGGCCTGAGTGAGTCCCAAGTGGGAGATGCCAAATTTATCTGATAACAAGTTTTTGCCTGATGAATTTATTTCACATTAATTTCAGCTCTTACCATGTTTGAGTGTTTCGAAATTACTTATCATAAGATAGAGAATTTCTTATTTCTCTTCATAATTCCAAGTCCTCTTTGATATATTAGCATACACAGAAGAGAGCCCTCCGCCAGCATTTCCGCCTCTGAGGACTGCTGTCCTGAGTTCTGGGTCACCGTCCCCTCCTTGAAAAGGCCTGAAGGACTGAAGAATGTTCTTCCAAATACCCAGAACTGTGCTAAATTCCATCAAAATCCCGGAGTGCTTTGGGAGACCCAGGCTCCACGGAGCGTTTTGCTCCAGCCAGCCCAGAAATATAAAATCAACATCAGTCCAGTATTTCGCATACTTTGCCTGAATGGTCACATAATGCCCCAGATCTAAACAAAAGGGGAATTTGCTTCTAAGGAAGTCACACCCTGTTACTGTATCTAAGGGGACATCCAGACTACAGACCCCAGAACAAACATGCAGTAATGTACACTGTGTCTGCAGCGACCGTTCATGAGGACTGGGGAGTGTTTGTTTTCCTAGTCACCGTCTAGATATTTTTTCCACCTAAAACATTAAGTATCAACTTTCTCTGATAACAAAGGCCCAAATGATCAGGGCTCACAGGTGAAGTGCAACTATGCAATTATTTCTTAAAAATGAATGGATGTACTTTTACATATGAACTTGATATTCGAATGACTCCTGTCTTTCAGAAGAGTCATGTGGGGAAGCTACACAGTTATTCCAAGGATGCTACAGTGTCCACAACATACCTGGAACTGCCTGTAGCATTAGTTTAAACATCAAATGCCCTCTTCCCCACCCTCCAAAAATACAGTCTCATTACTTTGCACTCATATTGGCTTATCTTTGCGAAGGGAATGTTTTGACTCTGGGAACGCTGGGTATATGCCTGTGAATTCATCTATGTGCCATTCCACTATCTGACTCTTGCAGAGCCCCAGAGGTTTCAGGAACTATGCACTCTCCGATGGCTTTTCTTCCACTATGGGCACAATCAGTCCTCATTCTAAAGAGACACATGGGAAATCCCACATAGTCTTCATTATAGACCCCCACGATCCCTCATTAAAATGAAGCATGACTCACGCTCTTCATGCTAAGTGCGGCCGGCCAGCTGTGCGTGCTCCCTAAGCAAACCAGCACTTGCCCGGACATGTCTTTGCATTAACTAGTGTCTTCTCTCAGATGTGTTCTGAGAAAGCTTTCAAAGTAGACTTTTCCCTTTGGTGTCCTGGCCTAGGTGTTCATAGCTATGCCAACACCTAAACAATGTCCCTCACATTGTGTCATCTTATATAAATCCCAGGATTTTCATTGTTATCCAGAAAGTACTGGCTTTTGCTCCCTTTCAGACTATCTCAGGGGCTGACATACCGGTGACACAACAGCAGAAGGTTCAGGATGTGAAATCTTTTGATAGCATACCAGGGTCGTGACGGGACATTCCAGAACCTCATACCAAAATGGAAGAAAGCATTCCTCTTATCACATGCTAGTTATAAAATAAATAGATCTCCCTTCCAATCCTCTGTGTGGTTGAGCTGAATCTGTACCTCCGAGGCTGCTAGCCAGGCTGACTGTCGGCTTTGCCCTGATTCTTCTAGCTTGCTCTCCCCATTCTCACACATCTCCCTTCCTATCTGAACCTCTTCTCTTCCTAGATTTGGATAGCGAGCAAGTGCTGTGAAAGCGAGGCATGCTGGAACTTTCCCTCATGCACTGGAGCTCCCACCCTCAGTGGCTCCACTTCCCAGCCCTTATCTCAGTCCTGCCCAAGCTTGGCATCTTGAAGGCATCCCAGACTCCTTTCGTGGCCACTTCCACTTCCTCACACGTCTCTTTCCACTTGCCTAGGCGTCTGGGGCACAACACCTCCTTGATATTTATGGAGGGTTCTTAACTCCTTTCCTGCACACCTCCCTCCATCATTACTCCCCCACCCATTTCTCTGCACCCTCATTGTGGGATTTCCCCTAATAAATGAGATGATCCGTGTTATATTATGCAGGATACAACACAGAGGTCTCCTTAGTTTCTAAGGCAAGAGCAACTATCAGGAATTGTAATAAATACCATTCTTTTGTGTGCTGTGCCAGTGCTTTTCAAATAGTGTCATCATATTTCATTCCCAAACAGCCCTTGGAGATAGGCATTATCAGGCCCATTTTACAGATAAGGAAACTAAAGCTTAGAGACATGATATGACTTACCCAAGGAAAAGCCTTTTTGTTGTCATTATTGTGTTGTTGTTGCCAGAACTGTAGTTCACACCCAGTAGTGGCTGCAGACTCTGTACAGTTGACCATACTCTCCACTGCCCCTTCCTGCAGGCAGGTTAACTCTGCGGGTGAACAGATTGAGTTGGTAGTTGTATTTTTGTTTTGAAGCACTGCATCAGAAACAGCCATGTCTGGTAGTTAAGGACACTTCTGGGTATGAATTCTGACTCCTCCACTTAACCTTTCTGGGCTTTCACTTACTCAGATATGAGATAGGGAGGAGGGTAGTAGGTACCTCATGGGAAAGTGTGAGGCCCTCAGTTACTGTGAGCAGAGCCTGTAAAACAACACTCAGCACACAGTAAAACATTTCTATCTCCACTACTATAATAATAATAATTATTATTATTATATTTTTATAATATTTTTATAATATTAAAATATTTATATTTTATATTATTATTATTATTATTTCTATGTTTTCTGTACTATAGAACACATAATATTTTATTATCAAGGGTTTGAGAATTTTAGTTCAGTGCCCTAAGTCCTTTCTCTTTAACGCATTCTCACTCAATCATACACTCCTCCCTTCAAACATCAAAACAACCCTCAAGGATATAAAATATTACTTTTGTTCATTTGTTTTTTTAAGTTTAAAAGGGCCATCAGATAATCTTGATAGGGGGCTGGGTAAAACAGAGAGCTTTAAGGTCATGGGTTGCTGCCTGCTATCACCCTCGAGTTGACAAATTCTGCAAAAGAAGATGCCCCAGCTCCACCTGGCGCAGGACCCTGCTGGCAGTCAGTTCCTTGGCTGTGCCCTGCCCCTGGCACCGAGCACCTTTGTCTATTGCTGCTGCTCACTGCTCTGCTTTCCAGTCTGTAGGACACATAAAGAGGAAGCCACTCCAGACAGAGCATGTACATGCCCCAGGGTTCAGCAGTGAGTCTCCTCTGTCCTGGGGAGGCTTCTTCCAGTCCCTGGCCTCTCCCCTCCCTCAGTGGTTCTCATTCAATCAGAGCCCACGGGAGATCTCAGGGGGCCATGCCTAATACATGCTGACCACTAAATGGAAGATCAGGAGCAAGGCAGCATTGGTGGGGGGCAGAAAAGGGGCCCTGGAATTTTCTTCTTAAGGATAAATATTCCATGTCACTGCAATGAGCTTATTTAAAGCAATACAAACAGAGATGTGCGTTGTCTCAGGGCCCTAATGATTTTTTTTAATTCCATATTCCAAATCTTATTACCCCAAATGTGCCCATCGTATAACTTCCCAACCCAGAAAATAAAGTAAATCAAGATGAAATATGATCTTTCTTTCATGATATATAATCCTAAATTGTCCCAAATCAGGATTCTGTTTTCCACTAAACTTGATTACCCATCACTTGTGCAATTGCAGACTTTTTTTCTTGTTGAAACGTTTCTGGATTTCCTCAAGTTTCTGTTGGAAACATACTCATACATTATTTTTAAAGCAGAGAAAACATTCTTTAAAATAAAAATAAAAGTGCACTCAAACTAAAAAGTCTTAAAAATAATTTTTAGCCATGAACGAGTAAAATTTTTAACATAAAACTTGTACCCTCTTTACTAAGAAAAATAAATTTTAGGCCACATTTAAAAAAAGAAAAGAAAAGAAAGAAAACCCTATTTGGATGCTTCTTCACCAGTTAAATCTGGGCAACACATAGTTATTCTTTGACCAGCATGTGACATTTTCTTATCTTCAACTTGAACCTTTCACGCCACCATAACTGCCTACCCTGATGACTTTTATATCTGTAATAGTGTGTGAAAGTTTTCCTGATTTCCAGACATCAGAGAACTGGGACCAGGCTGAAAGAATAAGGTGATAAGTACACATTTTGAGAAGAGATACCTTTCTTAGGGCTTATTGGAGACACCCCAAGGACTCTTTCCCCTTTGCCATCACCAAAGCCATCCACCCTCTCTGTCACGCCCACCTTCCCCACCTCCCTTCCTCAGTCTGGCTGGGGATGAAGGAGAGGGTCTTTGCAGTCCTGAATTTTGGGTCTAGGGGAGCCATTGGGAAAGGAAGTGCCTCCTATGCTCACCAAAGCCAAGTCTATGAGGCTCTAAGAGAATCCCTGGTAAA